CTACTGCTACTACTACTACTACTACTACTACTACTATACTACTACTACTACTACTACTACTACTACTACTACTACTCCTGCGGCTGCTGCTGCTGCTGCTGCTGCTGCTGCTGCTGCTGCTGCTGCTACTACTAGTACGACTACTACGACGACTACTACGTTGCTACGACTGCTACCACCACAACTACTCCGACAACGACTACTGCTACTACTACTCCTCTTGCTCCTCTGCTCGTCCTGCTGCGACGATTACTGCGGCATCTGCCGTGAATCGTTGCAATGGCTAGCTGCGCAGTGGTGGAGCAGGAGTACTGATGTTGCTGTAAAAGTGTACCGCCGAAGCCCAGAAACTGTGAGATTTGTAGGATTGCTAATCAGAGGAACCCTAAACCGATAATGAGGCAGCCTTGAGCGTTTTGAGTAAGTTACTTTGACAGCCGGCAATCCGAAGTCCAAGGACCCACTACACCAGACACCCTGCCATCGAGGACACGGGAGCTCCACCCAAAACCCAACTCTCCTAACGGGTCTAGGGTTTATGGGTTTAGGGTTTATGGGTTCAGGGTTTAGGGGTTTAGGGTTTAGGGGTTTAGGGTTTAGGGGTTTAGGGTTTAGGGTTGAGGGTTCGGGTTTCGGGTTTAGGGTTTAGGCTTTCGGGTTCAGGGTTTGGGGTTTCGGGTTTAGGGTTTAGGGGCATCCCAAGCCAAAGTAGAGAACCTGTCACACCTTCTGTGAACCTCGCAAAGCCCCGTAAACCCTAAACCCTAAACCCTAAACCCCCACAACCAAAATTGCCAGGACGACCAGGCCGATCTGCTTCGGGGAGTTCACGGAATCGAAATCCTGGAGGCCACCGGCGACCGCTCGGACGAGGTGGCATCTGAAGCCAGGATTCAGGGCTAGGGAAAAGGGTCTAGGGTCTAGGGTTTAGGGTTTAGGGAGGCTTTAGGTTTTAATTCATGGGTTTAGGGTTTAGTGCGTGATATCAACTCAATCAGACCCCTGGTGAGTGATCCCTCACGGTTAGGTTTTAGGGTTTGTCAGGTTCAGGCGGAATGACCAGACCAGGTGATTCCGACCCCTGTGAACAAGCTCCAGTATTCGCCCTTTGGAGACGAAATTAAGGATCAGCTTCGAAGACGAGGCCGGACATGCTTCATTGTCTGGCACCATGTAGTTTTCCGTGTGTGTGTGTGTGTGTGTGCGTGTAAATGTAAAGTCTAAAGTTTAGAGCATTATATGCATATATGTATGTGTACATGTATGAAATTCATTGCACTAGCATCATACGAACAGCCTTGTGTTAAGTCCAGTGTCCTGTTTTCGAACGACTCGATTTCTGAGCGGTTGGGTCTTGCTGTGACGAACAGCTAGTTTACGCAAACTGGTGGGTATCAGATAGAGGTTCAAAAGGCCAAAGCCGAAACCTTGGAGGTTTTTCGTACATACATACATACATACATACATACATACATACATACATACATACATACATGCATACATGTGTGTATGTATATATGTATACATATTTGCACTCGGGGAGGAGTATATGTTGCTGTCTCATGAGAGGAATGGGACTTCTTCCGTGCGCGCAGGCTACAGCCAGCCCACGCCAATCCAAATGCAGGGGTGGCCTTTGCTGTGGCTCAGCTGCAGCTGCTGGATGGTGGAGGGAGTCGAACTACGATTCCCGTAATCCTTAAACCCGAAGCCCTAAAACCCAGAGCTTAAAGCCCGAACTCCTCTTGGATGCATGTGGTTTTGTCTCTTGGAGCAAAGCAAGCCGAGTCGTTAACGGACTTGTTGAAGCCAGAATCCCAGCCTGGTCCCCAGATTGAAAAGCGAAGCTATGTGCCGCACCTCCACACTCGATGCACCCAGCATAGGAAACCCTAAACCCTAAGCCGTTCGGGGATGTTAGTAAGATGCAGGCTGCCGAGGGTCTTTCCGTACTTAGATCTGTGAGTGACGGATGTGGTCGGCCTCTTGTGAGTTTCCGAAAATAGGGGACCTTAATATAGTACCCTAAATAGTAGGATCCTTATTATAAGGACCCCCGAAAATAAGGTACCCCTAATTTTCGGAAACCCCCACTTGTAGCACAACGCTACAAAACCCGAAGCTGTCGAGCCGGAGCTTTAAAATCGAAGCTCTAAGGCTCATGGCTATTCGAGTGCGATTTCTGCTTAAACCTAAGCCCCAAGGCCAAACCCTGAACCCGAAAACACACTCCCTAAACCCTAAACCCTAAACCCTCAACCCTAAACCCCAAACCCTAAACCCTAAACCCTGAACCTTCTGCGGAAGGATGCAGGGTTGGGACCTTCTGGGCGTTGCTCCAACCGGCAGCGGGAAGATGCATGGCCGCAGCGGGTCGACTGAAGTGTCGCGGTTTTTCGCTTTTTATCAGGCTGTTTTAGGGTTTAGGGTTTAGGGTTTAGGGCTGCGCAGGGCAGTATAGGGCTATATGGGTCTGTATGGGGCTATATAGAGCTATAATATAGGGTTATATAGGGCTATATAGGGCTATAGAGGGCTGTATAGGGCTATATAGGGCTATATAGGGCTGTATAGGGCTATATAGGGCTTTTTTTCCGGTTTTAGACGGGTTTATGGGGTTGGTACTTGTAGGACTGTCATGGGGCTTTTCGGGGTCTATTCTAAGGATCCAGTAACTCAGTCAGTGTGGTTGTGAGTATGCTCCTTGGGGTTATAAGCCTTCGAAACCTACACCCTACGACCGTAGGTCTCGCATCCCTAAAATCTCCAGAAGGCTTTGATTTTGACACCGCACCAGCACACACCCCTAAACCTCAAACCCTAAACCCGAAACCCTAAACCCTAAACCCTAAACCCAAAACCCGAAACCATCAACCCTAAACCCTACACCCGAAACCCGAAACCCTAAACCCTAAACCCTGAACTCTCAGAGGAAGATCTAAGAAGAGCCCGAAGTCATAACCTCGAAGAACGGACTCCCAGCAGCGCTCGAAGTGCCACGGCAGGACGCTCTGCTACCTGCTGCCTCTCCTCGAGCATGTCAAGGCCGTGGCTCGTGAGAGAGGGGGACGGAGGGAGAGACAGAGAGAGAGAGAGAGAGAGAGAGAGAGAGCGAGACAGAGAGAGAGAGAGAGAGAGAGAGAGCGAGAGCGAGCGATCCCCAAAGATAGAACAACAGGGAGAGAGAGAGAGAGAGAGAGAGAGAGCGAGAGAGAGAGAGGACAAGAGTGTGCTTTTTTCCCAGAATCATTTACGAATTTGTGCGTCCGAGGGACAACTTCTACTCCGCCAGGTCCAACATCCCAGAGACTCCAATATCCCATAATTAAGGAATATACCTTGAATCATATTAGGGATCCGATTATAATTTAAGGTATATTCCTCAATCGAGGGATATTGGAGTCTCTGGGATATAGGTTTGTCATACAGGTCGTATCCCGCCAGCGAAGCTTTGACCTCTCCTCCAGTGGCCGGGGGATCTGAAGAAGGGTCCAGGGTTTAGGGGTTTAGGGTTTAGGGTTTAGAGTTCCATCTTCATTGTTGCCCCAATCCCCCAAACCCTAAATCGCAAACCCCAAACGCTAGAGCACTGACCCTTCAACCCCCAATGCCAAACGCTGTACACTAAACCCTAAACCCCAAGCCACAAACGCCAGGACACAAAAACTCCCACCCCCAAATGCTGTGGCGCTGAATCCTGAACCCCCAACCCCAAACGCCAGAACCCTAAACCCTAAACCCCAAAGGCTCGGCCACTTAACCCTAAGCCCCCGACTTCAAACGCCGGAACATTAAACCCTAAACCCCAAACCCCAAATAAATAATTACTAAATTTTGACCCACAAAACGCGAGAGCACTAGGCCCTAAACCCCCAACCCGGAACCACACCGCAACCCCCCTAACAGGGCCTCACTGGAAGTATGCTTTGGTACACCGACAGTTGCGGAAATCGTCTTTCGAGTTGGCGCCAAAGCGGGCGGTGCGCGCAGGACCACCCTAAAACCAACCCAACCCCAAATCCTAGAATACTAAACCCTAAAACCCAACCCCAAACACTAGAACAAAAAGCCCTAGGCCCTAGACCCCAAGCGCTGCACTAAACCCTAACTCCCCAACCCAAAGGCTTGAACACAAAACCCCAACGCCCGGTCCCCAAACGCTAGAACAGTAGACCCTAAGCCCCCAATCCAAGGCCTAGAACTCCAAGCCCTCGCCCAAACGCTAGAGCACTGACCCCCTACACTCCAACCTTAAACCCTAAACCCTGAACCCTAAACCCGAAAGCCTAAACTCTACTTCCACAGTCCTTCCGACCCCTCGGCAGGTCCAGGAGACCTTGCGCCCACAAGACGGCGGCCTGGTTTGGGGTTTAGGGGTTTCGTTGTCTAGGTCTCTATACCCAAAAGCTCCATGTACCCATATAGTAGATACTTAAGCCTTAAAGGGGTCCCCTCTACTGTGTGGGTACATGGGGCCTTAGGGATACGGGTTCTATAAGAGTTCTATGTCGTTCTCAGGCTACTACAGATCTTAAGGTGGCGGGAAAGGCCTTGTAGGCTTTTTTTTACACGTTTCTCTTACAGATAGGGACTCAGGTGCAATCCCTTGGGCCCAAGTTCCCTGAAGGTACTTACGCCCCAAACCCTAAACCCTAAACCCTAAAACCTAAACTGAAGGTACTTATACCTATAGTGTTGAGTCCAAGGCGCTGCTTAGGTTCAACATTGCCTCTGGAGCCAGGCACACTGCAAACCGCAGGATACACCTTGAGCTCCAAAGCGCAACCCCAAACCCGGTTAGGGTTTTAGGGAGGTTTTCGTGCCGTCTGAAGAATTGATGTCAGGGTTGCTGTCAAGGGATTCCTATGAAGGGCCTTGCACACGGCGCTTTGTGTACTTTCCAAAGTAAAGGAGGACAGCCTTGCTTGAATTCTTGCCAAGAAGTAGCGACGAACACAAGAGTCGCTATCCAGTACCGTGGGTCTCGTTAGTTCGAGGAGCCATACTCCATCTTAAACCTGTATGCAGCAGTCTCATATTTCGAGTTTAGGGTTTACCCGTGGCCCAAAAGACCTACTCCTTTGAGGAGCTATATATAGAAACTGAAACGGTAGGCCCAAACCCTAAACCCTAAACCCTAAACCCTAAACCCTCAAACGGTAGGTCTTTTCGGCT